ACATCAGTTTATAGCATCAGTGAAAAAAAAGATTATCTTTTTATAATACCAACCAACTCTTTTAATCTGCCAGCTAAATTGAGTTGTTTCCTTTCCGATAGTAAGTCCTCCAAGCGGCCAGGAGTGCACACAACTAGATGTGCCCCTTTGTTTATATTTTCTACATCCACTTCAATTGCTCGCCCACCTACTAACAGTGTCATAGTAACATGTGATAATTCCAGCTCTTGTAAAAATAGTTCTATTACCTGTCAATAGATTTATAATATTATTTTAGTTATAACCTAAAAACCAACAATAAAGCTAAAATGAATTAAGGTAAGTGGCTTCTCAAATCATTAAACGTTTTATTAGTTGCAATTAATTGTACACAGTAGCAGCAATTATGAAGTCGACAGAGCATCATCAATATTTCAATCCATCATGTGTCCACTGCTGCAAATATTGGCGTCACTCAAACTCAGCCACAAACGCTTCTCAATCCATACAAAAGACAGTACTTCGTACTTTAATTACCTTATAAATTTGAGTAGCAAGTTCCCTTGTAGGTGAAATAATAACAGAATAAATGAAGTCCTTTCGCAAAGGTGCCTCTTTCTCTTTTTTTATTAGCATTTCTAGCATTGGCACAACGAATGCAAGTGTCTTGCCAGAGCCTGTAACCGCTTCAGCAACAACATCCTTACATGACAAAATAAGAGGAATGACTGCCGCTTGGATAGGAGTCATAGTTTCAAACCCCTGTTTACTAATGCAATTTAAAATTGGTTTTGATAACGATGGTGTAACTTTGGCCCAATTTTTATTTACCATTGTGAAATATTATTTTTATTACAACTAAAATAGCCAGGGTAATTATGATAAAATACCGTAAACATTTAACATGCGGAAGTTGACAAGTTTTGGTTTCCACTTGACATTGACATTGACTGTTATTGTTGATTCGCTAATTAAGGGAGCAAAGGTCTTCGATCATACAGCCTAGCCTAGTTTTTATTTCGTTTATACAAAATTCTTTAAAACATACTGATGCGTCTCATTGTCACTACCATAGACTTAGAATATACTGGCGTAGTCATTACAATCTTGAGGGGATTTTAACAAGAGTTTAAATCTACGGAGAGTTGATGACGGTAGTATTTCAAAACCTCTAAGCGGATAAAAACTTGAGATTTATATCACCACCAAAGCACCTGTTACATCGACATCGTTTTCGCTAATAGCTCCCAACATACAAAGTTATTTAATACAAAATATCCCCCTATTGTTACGCATAAAAATCCATTTTAAAGCCATTATTATCACTATAAAATAAAAACTGCAGCTCGTTGGTAAAGTATCTGCCAAAAGTCCAGTCTCTTGGCAGAGAGTAATAGTGTTTTTCTGAGATCTAAACCCCTAAATTATGGAGTGTAGAAGTAAGGAGTGAAGACTGTGTATTAAAAAGTGTCCATAGAAAACAGTTAAATAAGGGTAGCACCACTATAGCTACGGGCTAAATTTTAAAGAACGTACCAAAAATATTAGTGGGATAGACGACTTTTTCGAAGTTATATTTACTAAATAAGATTATTTTAGATTTTAGAGCTACTAATTATATATATATATATATATATATATATATATATATATATATATATATATATATATATAGTTATAATTTATTTACGATCATTTACTGAATAAACTATTTTTATTTATTATTATTATTGAAACAATAATAGAAAAATATACTAAATTTCGTAATACTTTATTATAAAATCTAAACAAAAAATAAACACCTGTTAGGCAGAAAAACCCGAATTGGTTAATTAACTTATCGATAGCTAAAGTTGTGGCATACATCGCTACATTGCAGTACTTTCGGTTGCGGTGATACCAGTTTATTTGCTACGAAGTGGTAAGTTTCGATTGGACTTAATCTTGCCTTTATTCTGTATAATATTTTGATAAAGACTAGTTATCGATTATATTAAATTATAATATATTCAAAATCGTGTTGAGAATGAGCTAAATATTTAAATCATTTGACAAAATCCACTACACTTCTTAATGTAATGATTATTATTCATCACAAACTGATTTAGTTGATATGAAATAAATTTTCATTAATATAAAAATAAATATTATTTTGTGTAAATTATATTTATTTAAAATCCACCGCATGCTCGTTTGCCCCCTCTTCTATAAAAAAATAGTTCACTAAAATTTACACTTAAAATGTCTAAAAATAACGATAGTAAAAATTATTTGCTATAAAGTTAAACTTTTATTTTACAAAAAAAACTTTTACAAAAAATATTTTTAAGAAAGTTATATTAATTAATATTATACAAATATTAAATCTCATAAAGAAGAAAAAGTGCTTTTCGTACCTTATAGTATAGTAATAGTGGTCCTGGAGCCGATAATTCCCAGAATATTACCGTCATCTACATTCGACCTGAATAATCTTTCAGCACTTAATTCCTCGCTATCAATATTTATCGTATACCTATTATCATCAATGCATTGCTAGCAATACGTTTTGTCAGTAACGCAAATTTAAATAGTTCGTTTCAGTGAAAATATTAGAGCACCTAATTTTTAGACAGGATACCTAATTAGCACCTAAAAAGCCCCTAATTTTGACTGTTTCTAAATGATATAACTTTGCCTAGATTTTCAAAAAACCTGATTTTTGCATTAGCTTTCTTCGGACGACTTTATTTTTATTAGGGGTACCTTGTCATTGCCTATAATTGCAGCACCTAAGTAGCAAATAGAAATAGAAACAGCACTTAATTCCCTGCTATTAATATTTATCGTATATCTACTATCGTCACTGCGTTGCTTTGGATACGTTTTGCCAGCTTATTTCAATATTTCGTTGCGGTGAAAATTTTAGAGGACCTAATTTTTAAACTTGGCACCTAATTAGCACCGCAAAATCCCCTAATTTTGGCTTTTTCAAAATGCGAATTCCTGGACTTTACACTATTTATTATGCTGAATGTTATTAATGAAATTAATAATTATGCTTATTGTAAGTACCGCGACGTAGATTAATACATGTTATATAATAATACCCAGTCCAAGTTGCAAATATTTCTTTGGGCCTATATTAATTTACATCGATAGTATTTTTACATGCCTGTACTTACTTCATTATTAATTTGTATGTACTTACTTTATTATTATATTAAATGCCTGATGGCGATGAAAAAAAGAAACTTTCTGGTGTTCGAAAAAGTAAGCTGGAGAAAGATGTATCTCTGAAAAAGAAGAAGATCGAATAGTTTATTCTTCGACCCGGTCTATCTGCAGACAAACACCTTTAAACATACGAAAACCAAGATAATTCTACAGCAGAAATCGTCTCTTACAGGCCGCTGCTGCTGCTGTCTTTGTTGTCGGTAGTCAACGAAGACGAAAAACCTACTTGTGCCGACCCTTCCCCGGAGAATATACTGCGAGAAGATGTAATGAATGATCTCACGTTTTGGCCACTGGTGTTATCCAACAAACAGAGTATATTTTAATGGAGTGTGGAGAGTTTATATTTTTTTATAGGATAGGGTGACAAACGAGCACATAGTCCACCTGAAGGTAAGTGGTTGCTGTGGCCCATAGACATCTACATCCATCCTAGATTACAAGTCAAAATGCAGATGCGTTGTCACCCGTGAGGACTAAGATGGAATGCCTCGTTTCCATTAAAAAGGGTCTCTGCTTCTCTACACTCACCATACGAAACACAGCAACATTAGGCTACTATTTTACGCTGGTATTCTGTGAGAGCGTGGTCCTTCCCCAGTCGAGCCGACCCAATCGTGCTACAACTATACTACTAATATAACTGCAGCATGTCTCTACCGCTCAGACCCGTCCAGCTGAAGGCCTATCGCCATCATTGCCTTGTTTTCCAAATTATTGGAAACAATTATTAACTGTCAGCTATTGAGGATCACCAGCTGATTAATGACAACCAATACGGTTTCCGTCAGGATCGCTCAGCTGGTGATCTTCTGACTTACTTGACTAATAGATACTTTGGACATTGTGAAGGCCTTCGATCGGATTTGGCACAAAGTGCTTTTTATAGAATGGAGTGACAAATGAGCACACAGTCTACCCGATGGTAAGTGCATGCAGTGGTCCATAGACATCTACATTTATCCCCGATTAAGAATCAAAATGCAGATGCGTTGTAACCCATGAGGACGAAGATAGAATGCTTTAATTCCTACAAAAATAGTCGCTTCTATGAAGCTCCCTTCCTATGGGTTTCCCGAGAAATTATGTAATTGGATCACCAGTTTTCCTACAGATCGAAGCTCAAGGTCGTAGTTGACGGCGCATGCTCCAATTATAAGCCTATTAATGCTGGTGTTCCACAACACTGCGTGTTATCACTAACTCTGTTTCTTCTTCATATCAATGATATACTGCAAACCGTTAACATTCATTGCTATGCAGACGACGGCACTGGTGATGCGTCGCCGAGTACCGAACAAACTTATGTCTGAAGTCGAGTCTTTGTTGAACAAAGTCTCGGATTGAGTATTTAAATTAACAATAACCAAATCGTATTTATGGAACAGCATTATTGTCTAGCTTTGTGTATATTTATTTTCTATTATGTACCCAAAAAGCATGCCTAGTTTGAATTCTTAAGATCCAAATATTCTTAATAAGAAACTTCTAATTATAATTAGTATTGTATTATCTAGTTTACGTTCCTAAAAACTGTGCCAAATTATCGAGTATTTAAAGCTGGTTTATTAAAATACAAACTTAAATTCAGTGTTTTAGTACAGTGGTTATTCAAAACTTTGCGGTATTTAATAGGTATTTGTGTATAATATTATACTCTGCAGTTTCAGAACGAATTTAATTTCGATCAATATGGCGCATGTTGATATGACAAATTGACAGCTGTGTTTTGTCTTTGTGCGAACATTACAATATCATGTAATGTTTTATTTACATCGTAGGCCCTCCACATAGTATAATTTATAATGACTCGGCCGTTCGGCAATAACGACAAACGTTTTTCAATCGACGACGCTTTTGAAGAGGAAACTGATGAAGCCATAAAAGTATACGGCGCAACGGGTGATAGGTCTCCTTTGCAGAGCAAATACAAGAATGGCGGTGACTATCTTTCCAGGTATCGCTCTTTTAAACTCATATTATACGTATTTTATAATGCTACATTCACAAAAACTTTAAACTTTGTGTTGTTTCTTGTGTCTTTTCCATGATGTTCTTGACCTTTTCATGAGTCATAAAGACATAGTGGGGCAAAGGTATTTGAACTAATACACAAGCCGTTACCCGCGATCCATAGCCCTAATTTACACCATATTAATATACCTCTATTTGCTAATTGAACAAATGTATCACCCTTATTACAGTTTTAGTACCTTGCATAATAGAACAATGCAATAAAGATCAAATGTAATAATTGGAAAAATAAATAAAATAAATAGAAAACTTGTTACTTAACATCCATTTTTACCTATTTTAATAAATATGTATAATATTTAATATAGATACATAAATGTAATTTGCCGTTATGAAAATTTTAACATATAAAACATTGCTTTATATATTGTTATAAATTATCCTGAAAATTATTTAATTTAAAATAATATTACTTGATAACAAACCCTTATTACTATCGGAAACCATTCTGGAGGCCATTTGCCAAAAATGACAAAGGTGTGAGAGTAGATACTCAACTTACTCTCCCGCTTACACAACTGATCATTAGTGTTGCCCAAATGCAAGAACAAGATGAGACTTAGCCAGTCTTGGTCTTGGTCTTCGCGCCAATACACCTGCTTGTATTGCCTCGTCTTGTTCTTGGTCTTGGTCTTGCAGCAAGAGTCTCGCAAGTCTCACAATTACCTATTAGCCTATTGTTATTTATTAAACGTTACTTTAGATCTTAGAACAACTTAACAGAGTAGGCACATTTTGAGCTTGAATTAACATAGCCATAGAAAGACCAACCAAATTAATAAATGTCTAAACATTTAATGAGAAATTCGAAAAATCAACTAATACCGGGTGGGGTTTCAACCCACAACCTAAGGGATCCGTGCCGATGCTCTAACCAACTGAGCTGTCTACCAAGTCTCACGGCCACGGGAGTTAGTCTGTTTCTTAATAAACATTTACATTTAATAAGCTTACATGAGCTAAAACTTAGTCAAAACATATAAAAAACAAATTAATGACATTAACTTGACTGTATTATAAAGAACATTATCTGTCTAGAAAGAGATTGATAGACCCTTATATGAAATGGAATAAAAGAGTTATACAATTTACCATTTGTTTAAATAAAAAAATAAAATACAATACAAATTAAATTACATAACAGTACACAACAGCTTTGACATTACCGTTACTTTATATTAATTCTTTTGACCAAGAATTAATACAAAGTAACCATCTGGCTGATTCATCACTTAACCTATTTCTATGTTTTCTAATTACTAATGATGCTTTAGAAAATAATCTCTCAGCAGGTACTGAAGTTGCAGGTATTGAAAGAAAATCACGGGCCATCTTCGATAAAGTTGGATATTCTGTCTCATGCGTCCTCCACCACTCTAAAATATCTTCCGAACTGGCGGCTCTGGGTTTACTTAGGTACTCCTCCAACTCGTCTATAACTAAGCCTTGATCAAAAGATCCAGATCCAGATGACGTCGAGGGACATGCATACAATTTCTAAAAGTCTATTACGTCTTCATCTTCATCATATTCACATACTTTCTTTTCATTTCTTGGTGATTCTAGAGATGTATTCACTGAGTGTAGACTTTTCTATTCTTTATAAAGTTCATTAAATTTGCGCAGGCTTTCTGTTTTAATTTGCTTCCCCCATAATGTCATGTCAAAAGTCTGAGTCTTATACCTTGGGTCTAAAATTAAAGAGGTACAATAAATCCTGTTGCTCTTTTTATAATGTTTAAGCATTTTGTCTCGAGCTGCTTGAAAACCCAGAATGAGCCTTTCATACACTTCGGATCGATTAGGTTTCTCATCTAATTGCCATCAATTTTATCAGCAAGAGATTGAATGATACAATGGCCAGCGGTAATGTAACATATTTTTCCCCACCAAGTTTCGTTGATAGAAGTTTAAAGTTTATTAGAAACTTATGTATTTTTTCGAGTATTTGCCATTCACTATCTGTGATTTGAAAATTATTCAATTCGGTGACAGAAGTGCACAATATGTTAATGCCAGTTCTCACTTTTAAACCAAATCCAATCATATCATGTATGGAATTCCATCTCGTTGGACAGTCGAGTATGGGGTTCAGATTTGATGGCACACCAGCTGCTTCACAAGCAGACTGAAAATTCCTCTTCAATATCTCACTTCTTTTTATTTTACTGGAAATACTGCGCAATTTTTTTATAGCTGTACATGAGTCAGCAATATTTGGCGCATATTCTTCATCTTTCTCAGTTTCGTCTTCACTATCTTCATACTGCTGTTCTTGTCCCTTATTGTCAGTTTCACTGTGTAATGCTAAGAAGGTCTTTAATAAATCTTGTACACCAAGGTTCAAAATGTGAGCAAAGCACCGGAAATGTTGATTGTCTGAATCAAAGTGTGGCAGCTGTTTGTCCAATTCATATATAAATTTGGTATTTGCAGTTGCGTTGTCGACCGTGATACCCTGTATTTTATCAATTATGTCATATTCCAATAAACATTCGTGGAAAATCGTTGCAATATCTTCCCCAGTATGTCGACCGCGTGATGGTATAAAATCAAGGACTACAGATCGATACTTCCATTCGTTGTCTATATAATGAATAGTGACCCCGTGGTAACTCCTACCAGCAATTGACGTCCATCCATCAATTATAAATGACATTTTAGATGAAAATTGTTGTAGTTGTTTCTTAAGATTCAATTGAAGCTCTTCAAACCATTCTTTGACCTTCCTTCTAAGTGTGGACCTTTTAGGAAACACCATATTTGGGCAAATTGATCGAAAATATACTTGTGTAGCATCGTCATCGAAAAATGAGAAGGGAAGATATTTTTTAACCATCCAATCAACTGTAGCTGTCGTGATGTTGTCACTGCTATTTTCAGACTGAAATAAAACAGTAAATCATGTGTCTCGCCGATTATAAAAACAAATGAAAATATGAGTGAATTATAAATACATATTTAACACTATAAATAAAAAATATAATAATATATATATATATATATATATATATATAACGATATCTCAGGAACTATAAAACATACAAACTTGAAGTTTGTAAGGTAGGTTCATTTTATGGCATAGAGATCAGTTAAACGGTTTTGAGAAAATCTATCCCTAAGTTCTCTAGTTCTAAGTAAAGTAAGTAATCTATCCCTAGTTTTTCTTAGGTATTTTGGGGTGGGATTTGAGAAGGTTTTTGTACTTGATGTGATAAGATTTTAGCATTTGACTTACTCTTACATGTGTCACAGTTGGTAGCGACGCTTTCAGCCAAATCTCTTCAATTTTTTTAGTCACTAACTCTGCGATTTCGAAAAATGATGGCTCTTTCTGGGAAGTATTATTAAACTTGACTTGCCTTCTCGTCCACTCGTAGTATTTAATGACATCTTCATATGTTGGCAGCATATTGAGTTTAATATCATATTGGTGAATTAAATGATATTATGCAGTGGACATTTATAACACTTTCGAGTACGTTCTATTGTGACACAGAGCAAAACGCGACCTCTAACCTCAAAAGCCGCAGCGCCACTGATGCGAAAAAAATAACGCGCCAAATGCAAACTCCGCTCCCCGCCCCCTCACCTCACGCCGTTGGTTATTATTAGTGATACGTTTGGTATTACCCTAATAAAATTTCATTATATTTCCTATTGAAAAACACTTTAAACTTGGTAAAACTTCAATTAGAACGTTTTTTTACTGGGTTGCGAAAACACGTCTTAAATCATATTTTTCCAAAATTTGAAAGTCAATCCGGAGGCTGTTACCTAAAACAGAATTTGAAAATACTTCATAAATACTAGTTCTAACCCATAAGGCACCTTTTTATCGCTATTACGAAAAGAAAATAGAAAAAAAAAATTCGGCCCACCCTACTGTCTATGGGGGACGCTATTGTTCACCAGTGGACTTTTATAGTAAAGTGAAGTAAAGTTACAGCCTATATACGTCCCACTGCTGGGCACAGGCCTCCTCTCATTTCTGAGAGGGTTTTAGGGCAGGGAATAGTCCGCCGCGCTGCCCCAATGCGTGTTGGCGAACTTTCACATGTCTTTGAAATATTTTTTTTCTTATTTCTCAGACATGCCGGTTTCTTCACGATGTTTTTCCTTCACCGCCGAGCAGGTAGTAAATCAGCACTCACAACACAGCAATTAACAACTTCATTGGTGCCGGCGGGGATCGAACCCGGTTTGCTCGCGTATTGTGAAATTTACAGCGAGCGCTAACCATCTGAGCTACCACGGCTCTTTATAAATTGTAATGGAATACTAATTTTAAAGGTGCTCCTTTTTTGTCTGGGAGTCTGTTGAAGTTGATCTGCCATGCAGCAATATATGCAAGGGTATGTTGTGATCTAAAGGGTTATAGAGAGCCAGTATAGTAGTTACAAATTGTAAGGTATTAATATCTTAGTCCTCAGAGGTGACAACAAATCCATAGGCTTTAAGGTTGGTTGCAGATGTTAGTATTGGCTAAGTAGCCACTTACCATTAGGACTGAAAGCACATTTTCACTTTAATCACATGAGAGAATAGCTGAAACACCATATTGTTTTGACATAGTTCATGAGGCATAATAAAAATTAAAGCATACAAATGCAACTTCCTCTTTCTTATATTTTTAAATTCCAGATTATAAAATAGTTAAACTTCTCCACAGTAAAACATACAAAAGCACAGAAGACACTACATCAAGAGACTCCGATTCACTCATCCATGAATATGTTGAAGCCTCCCAATCAATGTACTGCTGGAATCATCCTAAAGTAAAAGAGAACTGGAAAACAGTATGTGCAGCTGTAGTACTTCTCATTGTAGGAATAGGCCTCCTTGGCATGGGTGCATTTGCTGTTGCTGAACCAGAAAATGGTCTTCAGGGTGCAGTATTTTTTGTTGCAGGTATGATATGTTTTGTTCCGGGTGCATATCATGTGGTGTATATTTGGTTAGCAGCTCGTGGTCAAAGAGGTTATGATTTTTATCACTTACCTCTATTTACCTGATTTATTATTTAATGATATGCATAATACATAAAATATGGAGTATGAATTTCAAGAAGTAGTATTGTCAGGGTTGAATGAAGATAGCTCTCTAATTAGTTGCCTTATTATAATTTACTAATATCTATCCAACATTTATTATGTCCATTTACATATATTTTAAATATAAAAGGCAGCTTTATATTTACTTTTGCATTTAAATATTATAAAACTACCCAAAAACTCATGAGGGTCAGCAGCAAAATGTCTAAGTGATCAATGCTGGGGCTGCAGGTTTGAATCCTATACATTTGTAAATTGGATTGTATAGCCTATAAATAATTGTTCAGGGTCTGGATGTTTGTCCATGTGCTATATGTGTGGGTAAAACTCCTACGGGATAAAATCCTAGTTTAGAAAAAAGTATATATTGATTTGATGACTTTAAAATAATTGTTCTAATTAAAAAAGAAAATTACTGAAAATCATGATTTAATTTGGTAAAGTAAATATATCTATTAAAAAAATTTAAATCGCAACATCAACACAGAAATATCGGAATAAACTACAAAAGTGCCTAGTTAACTATGTAGGGAGTTAGTCCATTGCCTCCAATGTGGAAAATGTAATGTTCTTTGTAACAGAGAGTATTTAACAAAATTTTAACCAATGAATTAAACATAAAAGAAAAAATACATAAAATTCCTTTAAATTACGTGTTAAGTGTAAGGCATAATTTATTTATAAATTTGGTAACAAGTTATAAATATATTAATTGAAAATATCAAATACCAATATTACTTTGTCGAAATATTTTGATTTAAGTACAAAAAATAATAATCAACATTGCATATATGCATTATGAATATATATATTGTAATAATGAAAAACTTTTACTTATTTTATGTATTTTAAATTAAATTTTCTTCTGATTTATAATGGAGTTATTAGATACAGCAATGGAATGTTACATACTTACCTTATACTTTATAAATAGCAAATTGAATTAAGTTTCAGTTGTGTTTATACTAGTCTATATTATGTTGTATAAAAAGTTGTGCAGTTTTGTAATTCTAGATTTTTTATTTACATTTTTGTATAAATATTGGGACATAAGTATTTTTTATAAATTTGGACAAATCAATATAGAACTTAGGTAGTGTTATTGATATTTTTTACATAATTGTAAATTATTTAGATTTTTGAAAATGTTTTGTACATACATAATTTTTTTTGTTCACATGTTTGTAAATTCAAAATCTGTGTATTCAAATTCTGTTTACACAAATCACAAGATAGGTGGAAATAATTTACAATATATTTAAATTTTTATACAACAGCATTAATTAATATCATGTTTGCTGTTCAGACACATTATATTCATGTGTCGAAGTAATTAAATAACCATATTTTGCAATAACCATATTTTGCAATAGTTGATATTTACATGCCTTAGTTAAATCTATTCTTCAAAGCAACTTGGCTGTCGCTTAAAATTAAATAAATGCCTTCTTACATCTTTTATATCTAATGGAGGTAGCCAACTATGTGCATAAAGCATGATTAAGAGCACTTTTAATACAATATATTCTGTTCAGTTTATGGAGTAATAGACAATGATTAGAAGATACTTGGTTTGAATGGCCTCCTTGTCAATCTAGTCACACTTTCTGCACACAGGAGGCTACTTTCAATAGCGTATTGTGATTATTTTATATTATATTAAAAATAAGCTGTTTTCATGATACTATTATTGCCTAATAATTTTCTGTATTATACCAAAATTGTACTAGTGTTACAATCAGATCAGCATGGACTTTCAAGAAGCTGAGTGTATTTGTTTTATATTACTATTAACATTGTACATATAAATTTAATTAAATACAGTCACTTTAACACTTTATTTTTTTTTTATAAATCAGTCTGATAAATGAGCTATTTTGAATATTTTTTACCTATTAAAAGCTAATTCTTGATTACCATCTCACCTAGTGGTAAGTGGTGAAGCCAGGTGATATCTATCTTGTCTTTTAATAACTTCCGTTACATACTAGTTACACTTTGCTCCTTTAAGTATGTTCTATCATAATTTCCAATGAAGTATGAGGACCAAATTAAATGAGGGTAGGTAATGTTTTAAAATCTACTGAGTATATTATGTATAGCACTACTGCATATTAAATCAATAAATTTTTTGTGGTTATAATAAAATCTATGCAATGGTAATGCGACTGCTGCGGGTCATCAACACCTGTAACATCTCTAAACAAAGAAGGCCACAATTGCATTTTACTCCCAACAACTAAGATGGAAGGCCTTAAAGTCACAGCCTATATATGTCCCACTGCTGGGCACAATCCTTTTTTTGTTTTAGGGCAATGAAGTGTCCGCTGTGCTGCCCCAATGTGTTGGAATACTTAACATGTCTGAATCACCTGTAACATCTCTAAACAAAGAAGGCCACAATTGCATTTTACTCCCAACAACTAAGATGGAAGGCCTTAAAGTCACAGCCTATATACGTCCCACTGCTGGGCACAATCCTTTTTTTGTTTTAGGGCAATGAAGTGTCCGCTGTGCTGCCCCAATGTGTTGGAATACTTAACATGTCTGAATTTTTTTTTCTTATTTCTCAGACATGCAGGTTTCCTCACAATGTTTTCCTTCACTGCCGAGTATGTGGTAAATTACAATTACAAACTTAAAATTGAAATTAACAATTTCATTGGTGCCAGCAGGGTTTGAACCCGGTATGCTTGTGTACTGTGAAATTTACACCAAGTGCTAACCATCTAAGAGACCACGGCTCTCTAATGCACTAATGCCTGTTATTATAACAACTTTCTTTCAATGATTATTCTTTTTTAAACTGAAACACAGCAGTTAGTGTAGTGCAATCTTTTAAAGCACTTACCATAAACTTGAAGTGTAGCATTTTCCATAGTAATCTTTACTTATCATGTAATACTCATAGGTCAGGACAGACATGTTGTGTTAACACCCACGGAATATATAATCAAGTGTTTAGTGTTTGATTGATCATAAGCTTTTTTAACTTTAGTATTTAGTGTTATAGTAAGTTTAAAAAAAAATCATTTTACTTACTCTTTTTAAGCTGCAGGAACTGTTATACAATGTCTTGTATATCAATAGTTATGACCTAGCTTGAGGAATTGTTTAATTTTTGGCAAAAGGGTCCTCCATTTCACATGATAATATTGTTTGCATACAGGGTTTCATCAGATTCTGGCCTTGACAATGTTCAAAGCTTGTCTGGTCCTGATAGGTAGCACACTGAGAATAGAACGAGTTACTCCGATCTATTGGTGATAGTGCAATATACAAACATATGGATAGTGATCAGCTTTCGAATCATCTTAAAATTTACCATGTACTACATACATTTAGCAAAGCAAAAAAGTAATTTAACAATCACAGTGAAAAATAACTCATGAAAACCATGATTGCAATCATTGCCATTAGTAAGATAGCTTTTAGAAAATCTTTGCCAAAAGGAATTAAAAAAATAAAGCTTAATAAGCATATTACTTGGTATTAGGTTTAATCAAATAACATGGGCTGGGCTTTTTTATGTCAAATAATCTAACTGCATTGTTTTTAAGGCGTACATTACATGCTCATACAGGCTGTCAGTTTTAGGACAATGATGAATTGATGAATAACCTACCGTGTAATGCAGTGATTGACGCCTGTATGAGCGCGTAATGTACGCCTTTCAGTCACCATCCGTTTTTTATCAATCATGATTGATGGAATTGATTGACACCTGCATGAGCATGTAATGTACGCCTAATCATCATATTTTCTTTTCATTCATATGTATGGATAAACATAACACTATTAAAGAAGTTTTCCTATAGCATCTTGAACCGAAAAACTATTATTATTGCCACTTAAGTATTTTCTTTAGAACTCGTTGAGAAAATATGAACAAAATCTTATCAATAAATAATTGTATTAGGATCTTTTTCACATGAGAGAACAAAGGTTAAGAAATTTAGAAAATAGCAATTTAATTTAAGACGGGTATCACAACGATTTTATGGTACTTTGAAGAAAAAATTCAATATTAATATAAAGTTACTTTATAAACTATCATGACAAATGTTTTCTGGAAATTCTTTTTAATTTGAAGTGCTGCAAATATCGCAATTCACCATTCCAGCTTTTTAAAATCTCAATTTGATGTCGATCCATTAAATCAGGCATTTCTATTCCGCATGTACTAAATTCTTCCAGTTCTCGTTGTTTTGTTATATTTATAATATCTTCTCTGCTAGCGTGCTGACGACTTTTTCTCTGACCTACCGAATTTTTAAGCGATATTTGTTGTAGTTCTTCATCAAACCTTGTTAAGTAAGTCTCTATTAAGGATAAGGTTTGTTCCTTACTCAAACAAGAGCAGTCTGCTGGTATTCTTTCCTTGAACCACATAATTTTTTCGCCAATTAAATTATTTTTTATATGCGTTCCAAGTTTGTTATGATTTTTCTTTCCATTCTTCAACATTTTTTTAGCAAGCGATATCGTCTTCCTACTGTTTGGATGCTTCAATTTATCCAAATTCTGCTTAACTTTGGGCATTTTGATTATTTAAATATTTCAAACTTCACCAAAAATTAATATCCCCAAATATAATAATATGAATGTAGTGTGATTTCATTCCCTCTTCGTACCTATTAAAAAATACGGTTTACGGAAAACCTAGCAGATCTGATCAGGATTAAATTTAACCATGACCATGTGATCACGTTCAAACTTCAAATCACGTGATCACATGTTAGTTTCTCTATTTTTTTATTAACTAACTTTACGGCTCTGGGTTCTAGCCCTTTTGAGGCTGTCATTTATTTCAGAATCTTCATTTTTATATTTTATCTTCACAATATGCTGATGCGTCACATTGCGAAACCTTTGGGAGAATTTGACGACAGCTCAACCCAGCGGACAGTTGATGACGACAGCCACTCAAGCTCATAAGGCGCACAAGCTATCAATATAACTTGAGGTTTATATCGACATCAAGCCACTTGTTTCGTCGTTTTCTTTAATAGTTCACACGCGCGGACACTTAATTCACAAAATCGCATCACTTTTACCAATCAAAAACCACTTCAAACCATTATTCAAGCGACAAAACAGGAGCGACGATCCATCTACGGCCAAGTTCCCCCCCAAACCCCTTAGTTTCTCTAGAAACACAAAACAACAACAACGTTAGTACTCTTATTAGTATGTGACTCAAATTGTTGGTTTTGTGGGTTTTGGCGGTAACTTGGCCGTCGACGGATTGTCGCTTGAATAATGATTTGAAGTAATTTTTGATTCGTATAAATGATGCGATTTTGCGAATTAAGTGACTGCGTGTGTGAACTATTAGAAAAAACAACGAAACAAGTGCTATGATGTTGATATAAACCTCAAGTTATTTTGATCGTTTGGGCGCCTTATGAACTTGTGTGGCTGTCGTCAACTGTACGCTAATGGTGGTTAATATAGCGCATAGCTCCATATTATATCGCGCTATCTCTCCATAACACATAGCGCGTGCTATCTAAATAGTCGCCATGGCGCTACTGCGCTATATTTTAATCTAAAATGCGACTTTTTACGTAATAATGTTTACATAGCACACGGTCTATCCAGTGAATGGCATGTAATGTAACGTGCTACGAGATATAGCGTGCTGCAAGACTTAACGCGCTTGCCGGCCTCCTACACGCTTTCTTATAAATAGCGCACTATAACATGGCGCATTTAATAGCGCGCTAGAAATTTATAGATTATAGTCTGTAGCATGCTATTGATTTATAGTCGTTTTGAACAACTTTACTGTACGCTGAGATGAGCTGTCATCAAAATCTCCCAAAAGCTTCGCAATGTCACGATTCAGCATATTGTGAAGAAAAAATATATAAAAATTAATATTCCGAAAGAAATGATAGGCTCAGAAGGGCTAGAACCCAGAGCCGTAAAGCCAGTTAAATAAAAAAGTTAGGTTTGTTTACGTAGACAGCTCTGTCTACGTTTGTTTATTTATTTTATTTTTATTCAACGAAATTCAACTTGCTACTGTTGTCAAAGATTGTGTACTGTACGTTTCCGTATATATTAGACTACTCTATGGTACTGTATTCTGTATTGTGTAATTGTGTATATACACCTTAGATAAATAAATATGTAGCAAGCAATATACTTTCAGTTTATACAAAGGTACTCTGTGCTATATACACAGTAACAGTAATCTATGGTGATTGTGTTGAATGTGTTGTGCTAGTGCTAGTAGCTGCTAGCTGCATAGACCATAGATTACTGCGTATATACTAGAGAGCTAGCTGCTAGCCTAGCTAGCTACTAGATAAGTGCCGAGTTAGTAGTCTTATAAAGTTTGAGGTATTGTCCTTTGCTTTCATAATCCTATAATATATTACTCTTTGTGTTGTGTAAATCTAATTATAAACTATATATTCAAGTATAAAAATAAAATATCAAGTTTGTTATAATGATACAAAGACCAAAGCCTGGTGAAAACGAGGATGATATCTTAAGAATGCAAGATGAATTTCTGAGAGAGAAAAATAAGGATCGGAACATGCAGCCCTCTGCACAAGTGGTAAATTTACGCCGTACCGAACATCTTACAACAAAAAGACCTAACAATAACGAATTAGGCACGCGGAAACCGTCAAAGTATGCTCTGTCTAAGGGTCTTACGAATAATGCAGAAAAACGGCCTCGTACGGAAGATAATAAAGGTCCTGTTATTGGTGAAATCTTGGAAAAAAATAGTGAATCAACGTTGTTAGAGATAGACGATGATAAGGTATATTTTCCTAAAGTAATACCTAAAATTTTAGGAAGTATTGTTGAAAAGAATGTCGGCAGTTTTTGTGATTTTGACATCAAGGTGATGCCTTCGGAAGGTTTTCCTGCAGTGACTAAATGTGATCCAAATATAAAGCCTGGACATAAAAGTTTACATGCATTACATATAGAAAAGTTAAAGAGTACAAAAGAAGAAAAAATGGATATGGATGAATGTCAATGTTCAGTTGTAAAAAGTGATATACCTAAACAAACATTAAATCTTTTCACTAAGAGTTACATCTTGTCATCAGAGGATGCAGAATCAATACATAATGAGAATATTGAAATTCTAGGGAAAATGTCCGAAAAAGAAATATTGGAAGAAAAACAAAAGTTACTGTCCAGTTTAGACCCAAAATTAATTGAATTTATAAAGACCAAACGAAAACAAACTACCACTGACACAAACCTGCAACATACCCCTACCATTAAATTAAGTAATACACAGCAAATTGATATGAGTATACAGGAATTGAAGAAAGAAAATGTTAATGCAGATCAAAATGTTGAGGAACAAAAACAAGTTGATGAAAGTTTATGGGAAAATGATGTTCTTTCAAATCCTAATATCAACCAATGGCTTCATTTTGATTCTTTTGAAAAAGATAAGTTAGAATGGATGAAAGCAATAGCAGAAAGCAAAAAAGCTAAGCCGAATGGGTCTTATGAAGCAAGATTTAACTTCAAGGGTTACCTGCTGCCTTATACAATGGACTATACAGAAGAAACAAAAACACTCTTTCATCATGGCGAAGATCCACACAGACCAGGATACTCTCTCACAGAACTCATTGAGTTGTCTCGCTCAACAATAACTCAACAACGGTATATGGCTTTAAATACTATAGCTGGTATTCTAGAATATTATAATGCTGGTACTTACAAAGATGTTATAGAACTGCCTTTAAGTAAAATCTTTTTTATTGTTAGAATAGCTATGGATGAAAATAAAACCATTATCTTAGAACCTGCATTAAAAGCTATGAGAAATTTAATTTACAATAGAGTTGATGAGGCGTCTCTTGATGCTTTGGTAGGTTTTGGAGAAGGCCTTTATCAACCCTCTCTTGAAAATGATAAATCTGAAATTGAGGAACTTGAATCGAATGAATCTGAGTTAAAAGATTATCATTTAGCTGAAATTGACTTGATAACTGCTCTTCTTAGAACTGATATTCTACAAAGGCTTTTCTACATAATGGACACAATTAAACCAAGTTTTAATTGTGTCCAATATTGTTTACAAATTTTAACAAGACTTGCTAGAGATTCAATAGAAATTGCAAGTAAAATTGTCGCAACCGATCATCTGATGCTTACTATTTTAAATAATTTTGTACCCACAACAAGTGTTAATTTCAATTTTGATCCACATATTGTATATAATGGTAAACCAATATTAGCTGCTTTAAAACTGTTTCGTATCCTCTCTTTACAATGTCGAGAAATTGGAGATTTATTAATAAATAATTATGACATTTTAAAACCATTGTCAGAATATATAAGTTCAGGAGTCGATGGCACTTATGGCATGCATTTGCAAATTGAAGCATTGTGCATATTATCTAATTTACTTCATTATGGACTGGGTATTGAAAATGCACTGTCCATCTGTCCCATTATTGTGACCACTGTTTACAAGCATGTGCAAGGGACTGATGTATTTTTTAATTCATCTGTGATATCTGCAACTCATGCCGCTGTGGTTTTACAATTTGTAAATAAACTACTACAATGTACTAAGCTTGATCTTCACAATTTTAAACATCAAATTTATCCATTATTGAAGGAGGGAGTACAAAAATGGTTATCACAAGCTGCTAGTTTTGGAAGGTTCACATGTGGTCACTTACGAGTTGTAAGCTCTGTACTGGATTGTTGTGCTACTATAATATTAAATGAAAATATTACATTGCCATTCCTAAATGCTTCCCTTGAGAAGCTTATTCATTCACAAGGATTAAAAGAAATTATGAAACACCTAGTGCAAAGTTCAAATTTATTATCAGGAATTGAAAATCATCATTTTCATATTATTAAGAATCTTGTAACTCTTGAGAGTCTTGTCATTGATTCAAGACAAAAGGAATTACCTATATTAAATGTAACATCTCCTATACCTTTTCTTGCATCTGTTTCTAAAATTTTATCAATAGTAAATGAAAAATGTATTTCAAACAGTTTCCTTGACAAGGTTTTGATGTATCTAACAATATTGGCAAATAAAACTCTCAGTCTGTCTGAAAATTGGTTTACTAGAATGGAAACAGACTTTGTATTTAACATTGTAAGGACTGCAATTCAATGTGATGTTGGAGAATCTAAAAAAGATTTACTGTACATAGTTGCTAATAAGCTCTGTTATATACTTCGTGCTGATAAAAGTTATGAATTAGAGTTTCTTTTCAAACACATAATATTTAATAAACAATGGTTTACAGCAGAAAGGCTTTTTAATCTTGTTTCTTTATCCGAAAAGGATGGGTTCTCAAAAGTACTGTCAAATGTAGAGGGTATTAAAAATTGTTACAGTAAAGTGATTAATCTTAATGACATTAATATTCAACCAAATATTTTGTTAAAAAAATGGAAAGAACCAATTCTACCAAGGGATTGGATTTATTTGCCTGTTTTATCAATTTATAGTAAAAGTCAGGAAGTTAATGTAACACCTAAAGTTGTTGGTGACCATGCTGACAAAATACTTAAGCAAATAGCCCAAGAAAAGGAACTTATTATCAGCTGTAGTTTAGAATGGATTCTTTTTAATGAAATATGTTTCTCAGATCTCCTTGATGAAATTGATGTTACTGACAGATTTTGTAGAATTATGTGTGTTTTCCTTTGTGATAACTCATTATTTTTGGAACCCACAATCAAAATTCTTTTACAGAAATGTACAAAAGTATTGTTTAAGAAAAACTATAAATTTAATTTCGATAAAGAGCTAACTGGATTAAATAACTTTCAAGATTTTTATATGCAGTTGTTGGAGCAATTTCAGGGTGTAAGTTATGGGGACCCTTGTTTTGCTGCATGTGTGCTCGTACCGTTGGCTCAAAAGCACAATGTGAAGTGGCGCAAAATATTATGGTCAGAATATGCTGGATGTTTAAGAGCATTAGACTGCCCAGATAGCTATTTGTGTTATGATTTACAAGATTATTTGTATCCAGAAGAAACTGAAGATTCTCTTTTGAAATGTTACTTCCGAGCATTGAACAGTAATTTACTGAGACCTGGAACAATTGTCTATAAAATAGCAGAACACCATGTAAAGAATTTAAAGCTGCGAAGTAAACAAGATGATCAGTAATAAATTATAGAGGTGATTTTATTGTTGTATTTTTTTATGTCCACCATACATACTTTGGGTTTGTAATAAAATAACTGATTATTATTTAATACAAAGCATCATTACCTTTATTTCATAAAATAACTTATTCACCATGATTTTGTGATTTACTGGGAGTTGTTCTAACAGTGGTAGAGCCATGCGACAGCTTTGCTGTTGCACTTATGGGCTGGCTCAAACCGGGGTGGTACCACAACCTCACAGAATACCGGCGTGCAGTGGAAGCTATGCTTCCGCGTTTCGTCTGGTGAGTGCAGGTGGCTGGAGGCCCAAATCTCCCCCCCCCATTAACATGGAAGCGGAATTAAATGTTAAACTATCCTAGGATGGTACCAGCACCCCTGGGGAATCACTCGCTGAGCATCCACAACCAAGTTACTCCACTCCTGAGCGTGGGTGCTCAGGCTGCCCCGCGTATTCTGGGGAGGGGGGGGGGGCAAAACTCCGCTCAAGATTACAACTGCTCGGGGCAAACGGAGCAACAAGACCAAGGCGACCCTTGCCACGCTATCCGTGAATTTCTGCAATATCAGGGGACCACTCTAACTTAAACGCCGTCCACTACCATCTCGAGTCGGCGAGGCTGTCTCTGCTCTTTCTAACCGAGACGCAGGTGTCCTCTCCGGCTGATGTCTCGTATCTCTCCTACCCGGGGTACAAACTGGAACACTCTTTTGTGCCTCGGGCTGGAGTTTGCTTTTACGTCAGAGAGGACATCTGTTCTCGACGCCTCGGCACGAGTACTCAGCTACGAGTTACTGTGGCTACGAGTAGACAGCGACGACCATCCGCGCGTCTACGGGTGCCTCTATAGGTCTCATAGCGGTAATGCCGATACCGACTCTTCGACCACGTCCAAATGGCTAAAGATTCGTTGCTACAGTAGATCCCTCCGCAGAGATCGTGATCCTCGGTGACTAACGCCCATCACGCCGAATGGCTTGGTTCACGTACAGGTTGTACGTGAACCAAGCCATCCCGCATGATCGGTTGTACGGTACAACCGATCATGCGGGGAGATTTGTTTATGATTTTGCCTTGGCATATGGTCTGACACAACTGGTTACTTCGCCTACGCGGATTCCAAATGTGGAGGATCATGCACCTTCCCTGTTGGACCTTCTGCTAACCTCTCACCCGGACGCATATCAGATTTTCGTCGACGCCCCATTAGGCTCCTTGGACCATTGTCTTGTCCGGAGTGTGGACTCACGCTGAAATCGCAGTTGCATTTTGCAGGCTGCCGCCGTGTTTGGCACTATAGGTCAGCCGACTGGGATAGGATGCGGTCTTTCTTTGCATCCTACCCTTGGGGGCGGGTTTGCTTTTCGCTGGATGATCCCAACGTTGTTGCAGATTCTGTTGCTGATGTGGTACTTCAGGGTATGGAACTTTTTATTCCTTCCTCTGTGGTGCCAATCGGAGGCAAATCTCAGCCATGGTTTGGTCGCTCCTGTAAAATAGCATCATGCTATAAACAGGAGTGCTACCAAGCCTGGGCTGACGCATCAACGTCCCGGGATGTAAACACCAGCGCTCTAAAAAAGAAGTATAATTCCGCCTCTAGGTCCTTCAAAAGAGTTATTGCCAAGGCAAAGTCAGAGCACATAGGCAGAATTGGCGAGAAACTAGTACGCCTTCCTTCTGGAACTCGTGCACTCTGATCTCTCGCCAAGGCTGTCCAGGGGAATTTCTGTCAGCCATCTCTTCCATCTCTGCACAGGGAGGACTACTCACTGGCCCACCGCAAAGGAGAAAGCCGATCTGCTAGGCTCTTTCTTTGCGTCCAACTCGACTCTCTATGACGGGGTGAATACGCCGCCGACCATCAGCGGTGTGAGTGCTCCATGCCGGAAGTGCAGTTCACACAGCGCTCGGTTCGCAAAGCACTCCTTTCCCTGGACATCCACAAGTCGAGTGGGCCTGACGAAATCCCCCCAATTGTGCTGGGGACGTGTGCTATAGAGTTGGCACCGGTTTTAACGCGTGTTTTCCGGTACTCTTACTCCTTCCCTTTCCCTCCCGTCCCTTTGGGACTACGCCTAGTCCCAAAATCATGGAAGACGGCTTTCCTCCACCCGATCCCTAAAAAAGCTCAGACCTGTCCAACTACCGGCCTATCGCCATCACCTCCTTGTTCTCCAAAACAATGGAGTCCATTGTAAACTGCCAGCTCATGAGGTACCTTGAGGATTAGTAATCTATAGCTGATTAGTGATCGCCAATACGGTTATCGCCGTGGTCGATCAGCTCGTGATCTTCTGGTCTACCTAACTCATAGATGGGCGCAGGCAGAAGATTCCAAGGGGGAGGCATTGGCTGTTAGTTTGGACATCTTTCGATCGGGTTTGGCACAAAGCGCTTCTTTCGAAGCTCCCTTCCTACGGGCTTTCCGAGAAATTATGCAATTGGATCACCAGCTTTCTTGCAGATCGGAGCATCAAGGTCGTTGTAGACGGTGCAAGCTCCGATTACAAGCCTATTAATGCTGGTGCTCCACAAGGCTGCTTGCTATTGCCAACGCCGTTTCTTCTGCATATTGTGACGGCCCAATATTATTAATAATTAAATTCAATATAAAGGGGCATCAAATATAGTCTTAAAATATATATATTAAACAATAAAGTTACATTAATGAGCATAAAGTTAAATACATTTCAGACATTAGACAAATATTATAGTAAATTTAAGGCAAAATATTGTCTTTCAGAATAAATAAATATATTTAAAAACTTGTAAAAATATTTAAAATTTGATAAATAATAGACATACAAGTCGAAAATATTATAAAAATAAAGATAAATGACATTTATAAGATAATTAGAAAATTTGTTAAAAATTGTCTAAGTCCTAGAAGGAGTTCGTGTATAAAAGAAAATTTTCCTAAGTTATGGAAAGTGTTCGTGTATAGATGGCTTGTATGGAGGAGCTGCCGGAGACGCATACCTTAAGTTGTACATATATATGGGCTGGTCGGGTGCCCGACTACTTGAAGTACTGTAGCACAATGACTAGTCCTACAATAAAGTTTAATCAGCCAGTTGCCTGTCCCTAAAGGCGGTTTTTAGAGGGTATCACTTAGGTCCCCGGTAGGATGTGAGTCCCTCATAACCACGATAGACCGGCTATCGTGGTATGCGTAATGCATTTTCCGCCTCCCTACGTATAGGGCAGCCCTTTATTTGCTTCGGGCGCAAAATTAAATGACTAGTCCTATGTTAGGGACTTATGATAGTAAACTCAATTATACAAAAGCAATACTATAAGAAGGTTTCCATGACGAATTTGCATTACAATAGTAGGGTCGTGGGTTGAAATCCTATATATTAATGACTTATGAAAGTTAGGTCTATGATACAAAAGCATTATTAAAGAAGGTCTCCTTGATGCATAAGCATTATATGGGGTGGTCGGGTGACCGACTGCTCTTAGTACTGTAGCAAAATGACTAGTCCTTTATTAGGGACTTTAAAGGGATTATTATGGTAGTGTGTATGCTGCTTCACGAGCAAATGGTCCGAGGTAAACTTGGACTCGCTAACCGATGTGTCCTAGACATATCATCTTAGTGCCGGTGGTAAGCGGATTTGTTGTAGCAACATGGCTTTCCCGTGGACATCGCACACCCATACCGTTTGTGGGCGGCGTCGTAGCGCATAGCGATGCGTCGTCTATCTTTAGGATTGGGATTAGTGTGTTTGGTAGTATTACACTTTAAGGTGTAACAGGCATACTCAACTTCATGTCTTAGTGCATTAGCGCTATGATACGTGGAGTTTTGTTCACTGGCGTCTCAGTAGAGTGCTACTATGATACGTTGGTGATATTTTTTAGTTAACAACAATACAAACTTTGTTACCAAGGTCGATAGGGATCATGTGGGTGTGTTGTGAGGGGGTGCCATCCGTATGGTAGTTGCATTGATGCATACTGCTTCTTGCGGTATTGCGTCTTGTGATGGATCTGCGGGTGTGCTGCGCCTGATTCGACGCACTCTTGTTCTGGTCGATGGAGGTATGCGGGTGGTGATGTCTGCTGGGATGTATGGGGGACCTTGGAATGGTGTAAGCCCGACGATAGTAGTATTGATGCTTGTTGTATTCTGCAGCATTGCGTCACTGCGATGGTTGTTTGGTGGGACGCTATTCTCAATGGCGCTCTCTGCGTCTTGGTTTGATTCACACCTAAGTAGCTTTGCCCAAGTCGGGTCCCTTCATTACGGGGCTGCAGACTGTCTGCCCTCCATGATGTTTTATATAACAACATAATAATATATCTCTGTAACTTTCCCACCCTTGAATGATTGAAGGCAACTTGTTGGTGGGTGAGACAAACATGATCGAAAATGCATTTACTCAACGTCAGTGACACAAAACCTTTCTGATGGCAAATGATTGCTAACATCTTATGAAACAGAAACTTTTTTATTCAATGTAGATTATAATACAATACTTATTGAAAGTCACTTTTTACATTTACCACTGGTTCGCAAAAAAAATCCTCTGTCCTGCGAAGAACCAGTAAGAAACCGAGCGGGACAATTTTTTTTCCAATAATAGCTTACAATCATGTTTAAAATTAACAACACAAGACAAAATAGAAATAGCTTGGTAGCGATCACCCTTCCCAGGGGTTATTATCATCCATAAATTCCTTAATATTATAATAACCCTTTTTATACTAACTTAGTTTAATAACATTTTTGAACTTTGTGTATGACAAATTTTGTATATTTTCTGGGACTTTGTTGTAAAAGCGTATACATCGCCCCAATAATGAATTACTGACTCGGTGGAGTCGAGTAACTGGTACTACTAGCTTGTGTCTGCTCCTAGTATTTACAGAATGAATGTCACTTATTTTCGCAAAACTAATTTTATATTTGTAAATGAAATTGTATACTTGGGGAGTGCTTTCAGCCGGGATGGAAGATGTGATTTAGATGTGGATAGGCGTGTCGC